TTCCAGAGTGCAGGAACGCGAAGTATATGAGGTAAATGGCTTACTTGAAGAAACCTCGTTTGATGCTAGAGAATTCTTCAAAAACGATATAGCGCTTGCGATCAAGTGAGTTAGATTGTTTATACGTCGGTCATTTGAAAACATGCATCAGCTTTCTAGAGACATCAAACTCGAGTACGAACAATCTCACAGAATTGTACGTGAAGGCGTTACAACCCAGTATCATCAGAAGGTTGGTTTATCGTTCAAACCGGAACAGCAAAAAGATAGACCTTGCAGTTGGATGAACTCCGCAGAATGGCTGAGGCAAAGAGTTCTGACGAAGCTAACTTCCGCAAGGATCAGATAGCCAAGATGGAAAATATGATAGGTGACCTCAGGATGAAGTTCGGTCCTCTGGAAGACAGGAACCGCATGCTCGAGGACGAGTACAGGCAGCTACAAAATGCTGTAGGACCTCATTCCCACTATACTTTCTTACAACCTTCCTCGAGAATACTTCTTACAGATGAAGAACGACGAGGACCGCTACGAGGCAGAGAAGAGACGCCGTCAGGATGAGTACAAGAATGCGCTAGCCAATTATCAGCGCCTGGTATGTCATCAAAACAAAAACCAAATTTTTTGATAGTAAATCATTAATGCAAACTGGTGATGTTTAATGAATCCCTTACACTTCACGGTTTACTTTCCTAGGCATTGTAGAAGTTTTTTTTTCAGCTCTCAGAGCAAGGATCGATGAGTGAGGTGACATTATTGGAGCTAGAGATTTATAGAAAGATGATTGAATGCGAGGAAAAGAGGTCTGTGGAGCATTGCTACGAAAAGGCGAAAGGAAAATAATTCAGATGGGCATCGGGAACCGGAACAGGAGTGGGGTCAGGAGTAGGGTCCGGAGTGGGCTCCGGATTGGGATCGGGCCTGTCCACAGTGCAACAGTCATATTCGCAGATCACAAAGCATAGAACTTACACTGTACGTTTATATTTGGTGAACACAATAAACAGAGAGTTGTGAGAATATTTTTAGGGCGATGTGCGCATCAAGGACTGTGACGAAAACGGCAAATTTGTGATTGTTGAAAATGCTGGCTACAGCGAGGTATTTATTGAAAAACACTTTTTACAAGAACTGCAACTAATACATCTAGCAACGCTTGAGCGGATACCGTATCCGCAGAAGCATAGCTGGTCAGGAAAGAACCTTCACGTTCCCAAGCCTATTCACCTTAGGCCCCGGTCAAACTGTCCAGGTAGGTAAATAAGAGGGTTTTTGAGAAGTATTCATAAATCTAAAGTCACGCTTCTGTTACAGATATCAGCTCGTGGTTACTCCCCGATCAGACGTGAATGCAACCATTATCTGACTTTCGAGGACGACTCAACCTGGGGCACAAATGGCACTTTTGTGACACGTCTGTACAACAACCAGGGCATGGAAGTGTCACAATTTGAAGTACGAGGAGTTTAGTTTGTCAGCTAAAAAAGATTTGTTATGTTGTGGGCTAGATCTAATCAAAATGCATATATTCCACACGTATAATCGACTTTATTATTTGGTAGCTTATGCTGACGACTGACTTCTAAGAGGGATTGGGTCGGCTTCGCGTGTGTTCCACTCAACCATCTCTGTTTCAACATACGCGTATTTTGCCGATCTGATGTGGGCTTGGAGATGCTGAGACTTGAGAAGCTGCCAAAAATGAAGTCGATCATACTTGACTTGTTATCTTGCATCATTGCCTTTCATCTCGTAATCCTGCCTTCATGAAATCCTGCCAATAAAACATTTCGTTGACCGAAGCTTTCATGTAAAATTTGTACACATCTTTGGAACAGTATCTGGAGAGATTTGTGATGCTTGCAGGTCACATTTTGCAAACTCCGAGCATTCATTTGCTGTAAGAAGCAAAATAATTTGCCAGGTGAAGTATAAAAGCAGTGTTGTGGGGGAAAATTCAACTTCTAGCTTTTACGCTTACCTTTGCCTATGCAATACGCTGAATGGATTCGCTTTGAAAGCCTCAGGTAAGACAAAACATGGCTGAAATCATAAAGTCATTGACAAACTCAGTGGTTAGAAAGAGTCACGACGGTAGCCAAGAAGATCTCAAGTTGGCAAACACGTGCATTGAGTCTACTCATGGGTTGCGCAGGCCGCAAAGGCAGTAACCGGTTTTCAT